GCGGAAGGGATGCGCGGGCCCCGGGCCGGAGGGCGGGCCGGGGGCGGCCCCGGGGCGGGGCGCTGGAGCCTCCCAGGGGCGGGGAGCGCCTCAGCTCAGCCGGCCGGCCCCGCCGGCGGGGTCAGGGCTCAGCCGCCTCCTCACGGGCTCTGAGCGGCGAAGGCACCGTTGAGGAGAATTACTCGTCCAAAACACCCGGCAACAGTGCCCGAAACGTGTTATCTGTGCCTCTGCCCGTGCGCCGGAACGCAATAAGAAGTACCCTGACTGCTTCAGGAGACCTGGGGCGCTTTGTTCCCCACAGGCTGCACTGGGACAAGTCACTCTCAGGAAATCAAACCCCTCACCCCCCTACCCCGCCGCCCGGGATCAAACTTCAGACTGATCAAACTGATATCATAGAATCATAGAAATCAGCTGGGTTGGAAGGGACCTCAGAGATCATCAAGTCCAACCCTTGATCCACTACTGCTGTGGTTACCAGACCATGGCACTGATGCCACATCCAGTCTCTTTTTTAAAAATCTCCAGGGATGGAGAATCCACCACTTCCCTGGGCAGCCCATTCCAGTGTCTGACCACCTAAAGAAATTCTTTCTAATATCCAACCTAAACCTCCCCTGGCACAGCTTCAGACCGAGCCCTCTTGTCTTGCTGATGGTTGCCTGGGAGAAGAGACCAACCCCCACCTGGCTCCCCCCTCCTGTCAGGGAGTTGTAGTGAGTGATGAGGTCTCCCCTGAGCCTCCCCTTCTCCAGGCTGAACAGTCCCAGCTCCTTCAGCCTCTCCTCATAGGACTTGTGCTTGAGTCCCTTCCCCAGCCTCGTTGCCCTCCTCTGGACCTGCTCCAGCACCTCAATATCCTTCCTGAACTGAGAGGCCCAGAGCTGGACACAGCACTCCAGGGCTGGCCTCACCAGTGCTGAGTCCAGGGGAAGAATCACTTCCTTGGACCTGCTGGCCACACTGTTCCTGATCCTCCTTTGCGGGCTGAAACTCCGACTTGCGCAGACACAACCTCTCCACCTCTATAAGAAAGCCTTGTGGCGTTCCTCTGTGGCATTCCTTTGGGTAAATCCAGGGGTGCTCAGCACCAAGCGCTGTCACCCCATTACTGTGCCCAAGTGTGCACTTCTTCCTGCCACACAGTTACCAAGGGGTGGGATTATGTGATGGCTGAGACTGTATATCTTTGCAGAGATAATTATTGGCTAAGGCGAATGTAAAGGTAAAATTTCTTCTGCTGTCAGTGCAATCCAGTGTTTGACCAGGGGGAGTCAAATCAGCTCCTAGCAAAGGATAGTTTATGGAGCACTACCTAAACTAGCAAGACATCTTTTATGATTCCTCATAATAGGGGCAGCACACACCTTCCTGCACACCAAACTGAGGATCCTGCATGCCAGACTGAGGGTCTCTGCATGGAATTAAACATGAAGAGGAAAATTATGAATTCATGCCTGTGGAGCTTTCATGCTTTTTCCTCTTGTTAAAGAAAAATTCAGGAAGAAAGACTGTCTTTCCATTAAAACGAGATAGAAAGAACCGTAACAAACAAATTAAAAGTGTGGTGTGGAAAGAATGAAGCATCTAAACTGCATACGTCACGTTATTTTGCAAATGGTTACATTTGTTATAGTGGCATGAATATTTCACATAGTTTTTACAGCAGAATCACGGAATCACATGTAGTGTGATTATGGATGCAGTTGCTGCTGGTTTAAAATTGGTTTAACATGGAGTTTTTGTTCACTTATGAGCAAATTGTGCTTCAGCTGAAGGCAGGGAATGAGATGGCATTCTCCATTTAAGGTTCTCCATTGTTTATCTTACTGTATGGATAAAGTAAGGCTCTTCATAAAGATGTTGTACTGGAATATTCCTTCACATTTGTAAAAGATTTTATTTTTATTGTTTGAACATTTTCTGTATTTGCTTTCTCATCAGTAATGATCACACAAGCCAGGATTTGAATTGAGTAGTCATAAAAAGCAGGTTTTGTTCTTGGTAACCTGAATAGCGAAGAAGAAGCTTTGATTTTATCTTTACTGTTGTGTAGTCAGGGAATAGAAAGGTGAACATGACTTTCATAATTGAGCAAAACAGTTCATGACAGCACAGAGCTAAAATGTCCAAAATTGCACTAGATTTCAGTGAAGGCGTGAAATGATTCCCTGAAACAATTCAGCAAATTATTTTATAGAGCAAGTAAATCTGAGAAAACTGCAGTTCGGGAAGTGACTAAGATAAATTTGTTGAGCAGAACGTTCTTTCAGCTCTGCAATTTTGCCTGGAACTGAGGCTCACTTTTACTTCCTGGTATTTTCTCATTCATGTTCTTCTAGAAGTCTAGAGGTGTCTCTGTCTTTCCATATGTATGTGGCAGAGAGTGGTGAAGTGAGAGGATTGTACCTCCAATTCTTGCCTGCCACTCGAAGGTCTGCCTACCAATACACAGAATGGTGAACAGGAGCTGTGCTTTATAGACAACTCACAGATGGTACTGAACATCTGGGAATGGCAGTGTTGATCTTGCAGAAGAACTCATAGAGAATAGTATCTGTTACAAATACTTTTTGATGGGAAGCTTTTATTTTGGTACTGAAGCGATGAATTGTATGAAATCTTCAATTTATGTAGCTGAGACTGGCAGAGCTGCCTGAGTACAAGTTGTCTATTAAAAACTGTTCTTACTGTTGGAAGCCAAAGCTCCATGGAGGCAAAAATGTAAGAAGGTGATTTGTGTGCATTAGTCCATTTATGTGTTGTACTCCCTGCATGAAACCTTTTCATCCATTCTCATTTTCCCATGGAACAGGAAACACTTTTAATCTCATCTGCATGTGTCTTGTTAATGTGGGCAAGGACTGGATAGGTTTTTTTTAATTTGCTTTATCCTCTGAGTGAGATGGTGATAATGAAAGAAAGGTAACCATCTATACCAGGAGGTTTAATGCTTTTAAAAGCAGCTTAAACTTCCTTTGTCATACTTGCTTAATCACAGAGACAGTGACTCAGAGTTTTGGAAAAGGAGGAAGAACAGTACCTGTTCCTTTGCTAGGGAGATTTTCCCATTTGTGTACCCCAGCTTTTGGTTTCATATCACATGAGTGATAAAACAAGGAATTTTCCTTCTATTTCCTCGTAAATCCTTTGGCTTAAATTTTTTTCTCAGAAAGGCAGTTTTCAAAAGTACAGGAGGGTGTAGCTCACCACACATTTTCTTTCAATGGCAGTAGTGTTTCCATTGCATAGTGCTGTGCTGTTTATAGGCTTGAGAAAGGTGTGCAACAAGCTCGTTCAGTGAAATTGTTAGACACAAGCTTTCCACTGTTAGGTTTTCACAGATCTCTCATACTGAGTGCTTCCCTTCCTCTGCTGGGTGAGCAAGCAACAAGTGGTTTCCTGCTTTGCACACAAGGCAACATTCCTGAATGTAATGCAGCCTCTTGGTCTGTTCCCAGTAGGCCAGAACATGTAAATATCCTCTCGTTTCCATTCTCTCAGCTGTTCCATATGAAAATCTGGATAACAACTTAGCAAACTTGGTATTTTGTTCCCTGTTTTTTCTCACCAGTTTGCATTCCTCATCTCATTAAAACAATGTGCATTGTGTATAAATATTTATTGTGTAGAACTGATTAGAATGCCTACAAGAACCGGTGTCATCTCTGTGTTTACCAGTGGCAAGAATCACATTAGTGTCCTTTGTACCTAGA